TCTATTTTTATTTAGCATTTGGAGGTTCAAAAGTTGAAGATGTTTGTTCAGAATTAGTAAAGCATGGTTTTAATTATTTGGGCAAGGATTTCTTTTATTCTGGTATTACAGGAGAACCTTTACAAGCATATATTTATTCTGGACCAGTAAGTTAATAATTTTTAATTCTAAAAATCTAATATTAACTATTATTGTAAGGGTATAATTCAAAATATAGGTATATTATCAAAAATTGAAACATATGGTACAAGATAAAATGCATGCTCGTGCTCGAGGGCCGAGAGCTGTATTAACGCGTCAACCAACCGGAGGTCGAGCCAAGGAAGGTGGTTTAAGATTAGGTGAAATGGAACGAGATTGCTTAATTGGATATGGTGCTAGTATGATGCTAATAGAGAGGCTCATGATATCTAGTGATGCATTTGATATTGATGTATGCAACAAATGTGGTTTAATGGCATATAGCGGTTGGTGCCATAGTTGCCGTTCTAGTTCTTGTGTTTCTACAATTTCTATGCCTTATGCTTGCAAATTACTTTTTCAAGAACTTCAATCTATGAACATTGTACCTCGCTTAACATTAAAAAATTATTGTGACTAATTTGAAATAATTTATGAATTATTAAGATTCATTGTAAATATATTATAGTATTATATATGTGGTATTTATTAATTTTTTAAAAATATTAGTAAAAGTCTAAAATATTTTTATTTGATAATATATATAATTTTATTATTTATAAAAATATATGTATTAATTTTTTTGCACTGGAAGACAGTAAAACATTAATTTTTAGAATTGATAAAATTATTTATCAATTATTGTATATATTATTATATGTATATAATGTAATTTATAATAAACAAAATTAATTAATTATTTCATATTTTTAACTAACTGTATAGTATATATACTTAATATAACATATTAATAAACATTATTGATTTTCAGCAGTATGCACATATATTATTATTAATTTTTTTTATAATATAAGTGGTTCAGCAAAAAAAATGAATTTCTGGATTTTCAATGCAATTCTTATTTTGTATTAAACGTAATTCAATTTTTCTTGCAGGTTCACATTCTTTATCTTGACATGCTGATAATAAAAATTTCGAAAATTATTATTAATTTCTATATATAAATATATATCTTTATCTATATATAGAGATAGATAAATAGTATGAATAAATACCTTGAGAATATTCATAAGTTTTGAGTAAGATATTATATAAACTATTTACAGTTTTTTCAATAGCAATTTTCATATCATCTTGTAAATATGTATGAGCTAAAAATAGAGCAGCAAAAAGATCTCCAGAACCTGTGAATGCAATTGGTATTTTTGGAATATCAATTTTTATTAATTTATTATCTGAAATCAAAATGAATTTTATGTATTTTCTAGATCTTTATTTATTTTAAATGTCAATTTTTATTATTTCATTACCTTTGATTGTGCTAATTATTGTTGTTAATTTATTATTAAGTTCTGTTGATGAAATTGCTACCGTTTGAGGACCCATTTTATGTACTTTTTTTATAGCATTTTCTAAATCAGACATTGTATTGATCTTTATATTACTTAATAATCTAAAATAATTAATATAATATTATAAATTTTAATTTATATACATGTAAAATGTATAAATATTGACATATAAATATTAAACTTACTCTAATTCAAATTGATTTGGTACTACAATATCTGCTAATGATATTATTTCTTTCCTATAAATTTCTTCCAATGTTTCAGGAACATATAATTTTCCATTATCACCCATAACAGGATCACACACTTATATTAAAATATTAAAAATTAATATAAAATTATATTTTTAATGTATAAATTTTAATTATATTTTCAATAAAATTATTTACCATATATAAGATTAGGATTTTTATCTTTTAACATACGAACAACTTCTGCTATTTTTCTTAAGAATGATGCAGAACCAACATATCCAGTAAGTAAATGTGTATAATTAATCAAATTATTTTTTATTAACCCATCTATTAAATCTCCTAGAAATATAATTAATCAATAATTTATATTAATAATTACTTTTTATTTTATTTATAGTGTTTAGAATACTTTCTTCATTCTTACCTAAATCTTTATCATTCAATACTTGACCTCGAAAAATATTGTATCCAGTATGATTGGAAAGTTGAACAGAATTAATTGCATCTGCCTCAAAACCTAACAACTAAAGAAAGAAATTATTATTTTAATATTATTAATTATAAAAAAAATTATATTATAAATGATATGATAATGGAAATCATTTTATTTTTCTATATAATAATCTCTAAAATAATCTCTTCTAAAAAATTTCATTTTAAATTTTTGCACTGAAATAAATCTTTTAAAAATGATAGTCATATTTATATTATTATTATATTACAATAATATAATTTGATTTATATTATATTACTTTTAATATATAAAATTATTAAATAACAATATGATAGATAATTAAAACTATTTATCCAAACTAACCAAAATTATCTATCAATCAAAATTTGATAGAATTTATAATTGATAAGATGATAACAAATGATGAATTTTACAATGAACATATTGTTCACCTGCAAAGGAAATATTGCACTTTTATTACCAACGTAACCAGACACTACATGACTTTGTATCGAGAGAATCCGTGGTGTTTCTGACATATTGATCAGTTGATATTAAAAATATTTAATTCACAAAATAACAAAAATGACAAAATTTAACGACGCAATTCTAGTATAACTACACACCTTATTGTATAGATTGTTTCAAACACGTATAATACTTTTCATTCATATCTTTTAATGTATGACGCAATTTCTTCAATATTATTATTATATATTTTATTATACAGATTATTTCAAACACATAATACTTTTCATTATCTTTCGTTATTACAAAATTTTTTTCAAAAAATTTTTTTTCAATATTTGAAAATTTTAATATGAATCACTAATATAATATTCAATGTATTTATTTCTTTGTAATACGATTTGAAATACAATTTACAATTTTTTAAATATTTTCAATTTTAATTTCAATATTATTAATTTACTAAAATAA